TAAAATATGGCATGCAAATAAACTGAACTATAAAAAAGCTTTCCAAATGCATGTCCAAGGCCAATGCCCACACAAACAAATTATGAAATTAATTGGCATCCTGCCACCTTTTTCATTCCCTTCTCTGATGATCCTCTATACCTTCCCATTCCAAATACTTATACCCAAATCTCATTAACCACTACAGTCAAGTAGTAGCCAATTAATAAGAGATGTGAGTTAGAAATGGTCCCAGAGGTATCTGAATCTGAATGTAAATCATTTGAAAAATAAATAAACTTTCAATCAACCTCAAAGGCAGCTCTTCTCAACCTTAGCTGTGCATTAGAATTACTTAGGGAGCTTTTAAAAATCTGATGCCCAGGCCACACTCTTAAGAAATTAAATCAGAATATTTAAGGGCGGTGCCAAACACAGAATTGTTTAAAGTTCTCCAGTAATTCCAATGTGCAGCCACAGTTGAGATCCATTGTTTTAGGGAAAGCATTTGAAACAATGAATTTTCAAGCTTAGTGAAGAAGCTATTTTTAAATGGGGATACATCATGTGGCTCTGTTGAGGTTGCCAATTAGTGAAAACGCTCTGTTCAAGGTAAAGACCATTTTTATTAAGAAAGAAAATGCTACGTTTTAAAAATCACTAGAGACTCAATTTCTAATTCCTAATTTCAGCAAGTTACTTCACTTGAGTCTTACCTACAAAATAGAAAAAATAATATCAATGTCTACCTCATGGTGCTGCCAAGAATGACCAAATGAAACAGGGCACCAGAAAATGTTTTTCAAACTATAAAATTGTATTTATTATTACAGAGCTCAATTGTAGAACCATTTATCATTAAAAAGACTAGTTGTAATGTAGATTATTACCTAAAAGATTTATCACTTTGTGTTAACAGACATTAGCTTGATAAAACCTATGTGTCTAACCCAATGATTCTCAAAGTCTGGTTTCTGAACCAGTAGCAGCAGCATCACTGGAAACTTGTCAGAAATGCAAATTCTTGGAACCTATGCCAGACCCACCAAATCAGAACCTGGAGGCAGAACCTAGCAATCTTGTTTGAACAAACCCTCTAGGTAATGTTGATGCACACTAAAATCTGAGAACCCCATATCTAGCCAAGCATTAATAAAAATGGAATATGTATGACTAAAATCAAAGGATGAGTGTACAGTATTTGTTATTTGAAGCTTTAGAAGTCAGAGTGCAAAGGCATACTGGCATAAATTACTAGTAGATAAAAAACACTCCTAAATCTTTGTATTTTAAAATAATACAATTCTTACTGCCCAGCCAACCTTTATCAATTGACACATTAATCATGAATATAATGGTAGTATATAAATTTGGGAGTCAGATAAACTACAGAGCATTCAATAGTTTGGATAAGAAATAAAAAACCAAAAACTCTATTTGAAGTAACAGTGGTTCAGAAAATAGCCAATTTTTAATTCATGGGCTTGGGTTTCACTCAGAGGAAGAGTTAAAACTGTATCTTAAAAATCACATTTATCCTGAAGACAATACCCCATAGCATGTCTATGTTATCATTCAGGCTAAGGAAGTGTTTCATCACTGACTCAGAGAAAAGACCATTACTTGGACTTAATCACCAGCAATATTTCCTGAAGCATTAGATTTGTCATTGGGTCTGCTAAGCAACCGAAAAACAGTCTCAAAACTTCTTATCTTCAAAGATCTCACAAGAAAAAACTATCAATATTGCTCTCAAACACAAAGTCCAAAGGTCTTCCAGTAATAAAACATGCAGGTTAGCAATAGGTAAGAACATTGAGGAGTCTTGTAAGATTGCAATAGAAAGTTCTTTGAGATCTTGTTTTCTCTTTTTCCATTTAAAAAGATTTTGACAGCCTTAAGACACATAACACCACCCTGGAAAGACTAGAGTGAAGTATACCAATTGAGAACTAACTTTAGTATTCATCCTTAGTTACTTAGTAAAAAAAACTCAGTGGAACTGACTTTTTCCTGGAAGATTCCTTAACAATAGATGAAGTTCCATTTACTACTACCAAGCAGATAACTGGTTCCCTCTTTGATCAAGATTTCCAAGTCTCAAAAGATTTCCTCAATCATATGCTTCCTGTATTTAAAGAACTTGGGGGTTAAAAATTGGGGGTATGTGTAAGTAGAAATAACTCCAATAATTGATATTGGTATTCTATATCATAGGAAATATTTCCCACCTATTCAGAGTAAAGAAAACAAAAGAGAGGAGCTTGATTTTACTCATCCATGCTAACCAAAATTATATTGTGTCTTTGTGGCAATCCTTTAGCTCCACTTCATGAGAAAAACAGCAATTATAAGCTCTCATTTTCCACACTGGGAAGAACTAGAACAAATATATAATTGCCAAAATAATTCCTTTTGTTCATTCACTCATCTACAAATATTTATTGAGTGCCTAATATGTGCCAGACATTGTTGTAGGTGCAAAAGAATCTAGAGAGATGCACAGACTTCAATGATGAGGGTGTGGATTCTATGTGTCTAGAGTGCTAGGCTTTAAATTTCTCTGTCAACCAAGACCAGTGGTTCTCAAACTGACCAAGCATCAGAAGCACCTGGAAGGCTTGCTAAAACATAGATTGCTGTGCTCCATCCAGACAGTTTCTATTCAGTGGGTTTGAGATAGGGTCCCAAAATTAGCATTTCTAATAAATTCTCAAGTGATGTTGACGCTGCTGGGCTAGGGACCACACTTTGAGATCCACTTACCAAGACAAATGGGAGCTCTTCACACTAAGCCTGCCAACTTTCAAGTACTGTACATCTCTCTTCCAAAGAAGGCAATGACCCCATGAATGCTGCCACAATCACTTACAACTGAGCACTATTCCAATTCCCAGAACCACCTCAAATATCTCTGATTAGTAACTTCAGAGAGAAGAGAGAAGTATAAATAACAAAGAAAAGAAAATTCTCTTTCCAGGGGCTTTTCGCCCTCCTTTTCTTTTGATTTATCACTTATCACAAGAAGTTACTCTTCTAATATGATTTCTCAATACAAGTGCTATGGAAAAGAATAACACTCATTTAGATTTTTCATATTTCTTTAAGAAAATCAAGGCTTTTCTTTTAAATTCACTCTTCATGACCTATTTTTCTCCTTTTTTTGTTGGACTATCCGCTTTTTGAACAAAAGAATCATAGGGTTAGAAGGAACATTGAGAATTCATTTAATCCCTCCTTGGCCTCATACAAAACTATGTCTAAATCATCCCCAAATATAGCAATTTTTAGTACAAAGACGAATAGACCCTAAGAATTTGCCATTCAACTTTCTGTCACATACTTGAAGATACACTTTCCCTCAGCCTTCTTTTCTCTAAGTTATCAACCTCAACACTTAGACTTTCCTCATTAGATTTCCTAAACTTTAAATGATTTTAATTCTTTTTAAATAAGTTTATCTCATCTTACCTAGGACCTGACTTATGTATGTACTGTTAAGGGGAAAGTATCGATTGAATAAAAAAGGAATTTAATTGGAAGAAATCTATATGTATAAATGCCACTAACGAATAATACACTGGCATTCACTTGAATAATTCATTTTAAATATCTTTTATTTTATTAAAAAAACAGTAATGTCTTATACTTTTTATATCTTTACATTACAAATCACCAACCATTTCACACATAAAATGGATGGGAATTATAAATTTTTTAAAATATGCCACAAATTATACATACCATGTTTCATGACACTTCACACAGAAGAAAACATTATTATTATTATTTGCTTTTTTATTTTAGACAGTGCTTACTACTGAATTTGGAGTTATAGTTAATGATTTCCTTCTGTATGAGTCCAAAAATACTAAATTTATTATATCAAATTCATTTCTGTGAAAATAATTTCTCTGATTTAATCCTTGCAAATCAGAGGTGTCAGAGATTCACTGAGTATAGGACAAGATTGGATAAAGTTCACATTAAGTGACAGGTTTCCAAGAAGTTTAGAAAAGAAAAATTGGTAATACATTGGAATATGGGGTAAAATGGGATCATTCATTTTATTTCAATTTCTTCCATTCTAGATATAACTATTCAAAATTTAGTTTTTGCTTTCAGAATGGTGAGGCACTTTAGTCTAGCGTAGGCCTAAAGGATAGGATTGTTTCTCTGCCTATTGCAATCAAGGTGTACGGTGGAGGCGATGCATTTAGTCTCCAGAGAGAATGAAGATGCTGCTTGCACAGCACTTCTACTCACCAGTCCATGCAGCAGCAAAGGTGTTGGCTTTGAAGGAAGCCAACTGTCCTGCTCTCCCAGCCAGAGGTAAAGAATTGCATTGGTGGCCACTAGAGGGAGGAGGATTAGGAATAGAGTAAATTGTGGGGAAAAGGCACCCATGAAAAAAGCACATGGGACAACCAACACATCACCAACCACCGCCTAGCAGCTACCTCTCTGAGGGACTATACTGGGGGTCAGGATACACCATTAACCCAGAGACCCAGACACCAGTAATGATTGTAGTATCCTGGTAAAGAGCCCCTTAACTTTGATGGCAGGAGAAGGGAGATTGCGTACGATAATGGGAAACACACAAGCACACAAACACACAAGCACACGGACATACATTCTCATGCCCCATTACAAGAAGCTGTATCTGTGCCGCCTGATTCTTGCCCATTTTCTTATTTAAAACTCTTGATGTTCTTTACCAAGAATGTGTTCACGAAAAGCAAATAGCCCACCTTCAAGTTAGTCTTGGGAGAAGCATCAGCAGAGACACTCATTGTGCCAAGATGTATTTTACCAACAAATCTGTACAAATTACATGAGGTTAAAAACAAATGGAATATAATATAATTAAAGCAAAGTTTCTTTTGCTAAATTACAGCTTGGAGCAAACCTGCAAGAAATGTTTCCAATTAGCTTCTTTAGCAAACACAAAGCATAGCTCACAACATGTTTTGCTTTCCATGCTGCCCTCTGGGTGGGCTGCCTAGTGGTTGTCTTACCTCCAGCACAAGTAGTGGAGCATTCTGACCAAGGCTGATGATTCCAGGTAAAGCCAATATCACTGTCTCCACTGCCAGTCCGAGTGATAGGAACATTGAACTTATACGTAATTCCCTCATATGTATCTTGATAAAGAACCTGCCATTGAAAACAACTGGTGAAAATAATCAAAATACAATGAGCCTTCATTCAGATACTTATTATTTCTTTTGAAGAAGATAATGCCATAAAGTAAGCCTTATAAGAAATTTAAGATAACTTTTAGAACACATGCACTTATCTTGAATTTTCTCCTTCCATTTTCATAGGTAATTTAGAGCCATTTCTTTCATCTACCTTGTTGGGTTATAAAAATATTATTCAACTAAGCAATGAAATGGTCAAACATTCATATGGGAGAGCACTCTGGCTTTAACTTTACAAGGATTTTAAACACTTGGGCAAACCATTTCACCTTTATTTACCTAATTTATCTATAAAGCAGAGAAAATAAAGAGGCAAAGACACATTTACCATGACAATGAGATTTGTCGTGGTGGGACCTGGAGCTACCAAGGATTCTGGTTCATCAGTTGGTCTCTTGTAGCGAAAAGTTGTCCCAGCAGCATCAAACTTCTTAGGCCAGTCAATAGTCCAACCACAATTAAGATAGTATTCATCTGTTTCAGATTTTAAAGCTAAAAAAAAAAATCACAGTACACCTAAAAATATGAAACTTCATTTACCACAGTGTCACTGGTAAATAACTGCACTGACTATTTTCTAAAGTAAAAATTAAAATGGTAATTTCCATGTGAATGCCAAGAAGATATTAAGTATTTATGACAGGGGTGGGCAAACTTTTTGACTCAAGGGCCATAATGGGTTCTTAAACTGGACCGGAGGGCCGGAACAAAAGCATGGATGGAGTGTTTGTGTGAACTGATATAAATTCAAAGTAAACATCATTACATAAAAGGGTACGGTCTTTTTTTTTTTTAGTTTTATTCATTTCAAACGGGCCAGATCCGGCCCGCAGGCCATAGTTTGCCCACGGCTGATTTATGATGTCATTGATAGAGAGGAATAAAATGTTACCTGGAGAAATAAACATATGGAACTAGCAAGGAAAAGTATGACAAAAGAAATAAGTAGGAATGGGAGAGATGGAGGAAGCAGACTTTCCTGTCTAAATATTAAAAAGTAATTATATGAATATGGGGTGGGAGAAACTATAGTACTGGCACCCAGACAGACAACAATGCAACCAAACAGACAGTTAAGAAATAACAATCAATAAAGAAAAAAAATAACAAAGCATCTTAAAGTATATGACAAAAGAAGCATCTTCAATTAGTTTAAAAAAAGATAACAAGATATGAAACTAAGACAAAAGACTAGCCACTTTGCAAATAATAAATTCAGCATTATGATGATGATGATGATGATGATGATGAATTTATATTTTGTTTGTTATAAGTACCACAATTCCACTCTTAGGTACATATCCAAAAGAAATGAAAATAGGTACTCAAACAAATATTTGTACATACATGTTTATAGTAGCACTATTCCCAATAACCAAAAGTGGAAACAACTCAATCGTCCATCAATGGATGAACGAATAAACACTTTGTGGTATACACAATACAATGAAATATTATTCAGCCATTAAAAGAAGTACTAATATATGTTTCAATGGTTATGAATTTCAAAAACATTATGCTAAATGGAAAAGGCTAGACAGAAAAAGTCACATATTGTAAACTGCCATTTATATGAAACTAGAGGCCCGGTGCACAAAATTTGTGCGGGGGGGGGGGGCGCGCGGGGGGGGGGGGCGGTGTCCCTCAGCCCAGCCTGCCCACTCTCCAATATGGGACATCCCTCTCAGAATCCAGGACTGCTGGCTCCCAACCGCTCACCTGCCTGCCTGCCTGCTTGCCCCTAACCACTACCCTGCCAGCCGATTGCCTCTAACTGCCCTCCCTTGCCAGCCTGGTCACCCCCAACAGCCCTCCCCTGCAGTCCTAGTCGCCCTCCAACTGCCTTCCCCTGCAGTCCTAGTCGCCCCCAACTGCCCTCTCCTGCTGGCCTGGTCACCCCCAACTGCCCTTCCCCGCCAGCCCAATTGCTCCTAACTGCTCTCCCCTGCAGGCCTGGTCGCCCCTAACTGCCCTCCCTGCCGGCCCAATTGCTCCTAATTGCCCTCGCCTGCAGGCCTGGTTGCCCCCAACTGCCCTCCCCTGCTGGCCCGATTGCTTCTAACTTCCCACCTCTGCAGGCCTGGTTCCCCCCAACTGCCCTCCCCTGCAGGTTCAGTCACCCCTAATTGCCTTCCCCTGCTGGCCTGGTCACCCTCAACTGCCCTCCCTTTCAGGCCTGGTTGCTCCCAACTGCCCTCCCCTGCCGGCCATCTTGTGGCAGCCATCTTTGACCACATGGGGCAGCCATCTTTGACCACATGGGGGTGGCCATCTTGTGTGTTGGAGTGATGGTCAATTTGCATATTACCTCTTTTATTAGATAGGATATCCAGAATAGGTAAATCCAATAGAGACAGAAAGCAGATTGATGGTTACCAGGGCTTGAGGAATGGGGAGTAACTGCTTAATGGACACAAGGTTCTTTCTGGGGTGATGAAAATATTTTGGAATGTACCAAATGCCACTAAATTGTTCACTTTAAAATGGCTGAGTTCTATTTTATGTAAATTAAACCTCAATTTAAAAAAATGGTTTAAAAAGAGAGAAAGAATAAATGCCAGATGGGTAAATATTTGAAATTAAACAGTTGAATCATAAAATGCTTGGAGAAAACATGGCAGATCTTTTAAAAAGTAACACTGGGATATAAAAAGCTTTTTTAAGTATGACAAAACCCACAGAAAATATAAAGGAAAGGATTAATAAATATGCATACATAATTTTAAGACCTATATTAAAAATGCATTAAAAACATTTAAAACTATTGACAGAAAAAGGTTATTGGCACTACTGATAAGAAAAAATGGTGTGGTTCACATACACAATGGACTATTACTCCTTTTGTGACAGCATGGGTGGACCTAGAGAGTATCATGTTAAGTGAAATAAGGCAGTCAGACAAAGACAAGTACCATACAATTTCACGTATATGTGTAATCTAATGAACAAAATAAACTAACAAACAAAATAGAAACAGACTCATAGATACAGAGAACAGACTGACAGTGGTCAGAGGAGAGGGTGTTGGGAGACTGGGTAAAAAAGGTGAAGGGATTAAGCAAAGGAAAAAAATACCTCATAGACACAGACAACAGCATGGTGATTACCAGAGGAAAAAGGGGGTGAGGGGAGGTAAAAAAGGGTATAGAGGGGATAAATGGTGATGGAAGGAGACTTGACTTGGTGTGGTAAACACATCTATATAATATAATACACAGATGATGTATTATAGACTTGTACACCTGAAACTTAATAAGATATACTTTTATTTATTAATAAAATATAATTTTAATAACCAATGCTACCCAATAAATTCAATAAAAAAAAATTTTTAAAGAGAAAAATACAGTGATGATTTTGATAATGATTACATGATTTCATAATGACAAACATGGCAGTTTAAGTTTTTTGTTATTATTTTAGCTTCTTCTTTTACATCCATAACTCATTTCCTAAACCCATTTCTTCTAGGAATTACTTTTTCTACCTCTGTAATTTACCCAATAAATGTTCTCTTACAAAAATTTTTTTTTAATTTATTGGGCCAGATAAACAAGCAGCTCACCCTGGCCTGTGTTGCTCACTGGTTGGAATGTCGGCTCCAGCATCAAAGGGTCTAGGGTTCCATTCCTGGTCAAGGGTCCATACCTGGGTTGCAGGTTTCCTCAGGCCCAGGTTGGGCGCATGTAGGAAGCAACCAATCGATGTGTCTTCTCACATCAATGTTCCTCTCTCTTTCTCCCTCCCTCCCTTCCACTCTCTCTAATGGGGAAAAACAAAAACAAAAACAGAAGCAGCCCAAAAGACTATAAAGGTCATGGTGCAGTCTCTGCCTCTCTGGACCTCTACCACTTGTCCTTAACAGCACAGACCATTTTCATGCCCCCACTCAAATCTGACTGGCACATTTACTTGTATTTTCTTGACTTCAGATATGTTATGATGATTCATTTGTCAAAAACAAATCTAATTAACCTTTTAAGATAAGAACATGTCAACCAATTTTAAGGATTATTTAGTTTTAAATTTTTCTTGTATTTAAAATTTTTTCTTTTCAATGATCACAGTGGTTTTCTATTTCATTTAAAATATCAGCCCTAACCGGTTTGGCTCAGTGGATAGAGCGTCAGCCTGCGGACTGAAAGGTCCCAGGTTCGATTTCAGTCAAGGGTATATATCTTGGTTGTGGGTACATCCCCACTAGGAGGTGTGCAGGAGGCAGCTTATTGATGTTTCTCTCTCATCAATGTTTCTAACTCTCTATCCCTCTGCCTTCCTCTTTGTAAGAAATCAATAAAATCTATGAAAAATAAAATAAAATATCAGAATTACTTATGTTATATAAGGACGTCTGAACCTGTATAATATGAACTAGTAAAATAAAAAATAAAACCAGACCACCCCGCCTCCGCCAGCAGCTTTGTAGTCTCCTTCAATTTGAGCTCTCACTTTCAATTTACCCAACTATTCAGCTAACACATTTTTGCTGGCACCATAATGTAGTTCAGAAGACACTGAGCATTTAACAAGTACTGGGTAATTTACTAGGGGAGGAGGACGTGGCATTATGGACAGAGAATTATCAAAGGGAAAAAATTTAATGTTACAAGTCTTATTTTTGTTTTGAGTCTTGCTGATTCCAAAATTATGATGCAAAAATAAAGGGCTCTTCTTGAATAAAGGAAAAGCCTGATTATACTGGTGTTCTATCCGAAGATGTATTCTGGATGTCATCTTATTTTTTAAAGACTTAATGAAAAGGCAATGATATGTTAAAGGACATAAGAACTCATCCAGGCCTCACTAGGCGTCTCTGGAGAACCTAAATCTGTTTTAAAAGATCAAACATCAAATAAGTAGAATATCCACTTCTTTCCCTGTTGAAATAACTGGTACTAGATTTGCCCTTCAACTGTAGACAACTAGAAAACTCACAAAACATATGAATTAGCTGTTCTTAGACATTGGCCAGGACAGGGCAGAGCTGTGATATATGCAAGAAGGAAAACAAGGTGAATTTGATCTTTTGATTTAAGAAATAATAATCTTCTCAACAAATGGTGTTATAGTAATTGAATATCCATCTAAAAAAATTGAACCTCAACCCTTACTTTATACCTTATATAAAAACTCAAAATGGACCATATACCTAAATGTAAAAGCTAAAACTATAATTTCTTAAGGAAACATTGACGATAATATTTGCAACCTTGAGGTAGGCACAATTTCTAAGGTAGGACATGAAAGCCCAAACAATAAAAAATTTAATAAATTAGATTTCATGCAAATTAAAAGACACCATTAAGGATAGAAAATAGATAAGCCAGTGACTGGGAGAAAGTATTCATAAAACATGTATTTGAACAAAGACTTGTATAGAATACATAAAGGACTCATAATTTAATAAAAAAATTTAAATAGGCAAAATAATTTTGAAAAGGAAGGGAGCATTTGGAACTCGTCTACATTATTGGTGGGAATATAAATAATACAACCATGTTAGAAAACAGTTTAGTAATTTCTTATAAAGTTAATCATGTACTTATCATATAACCTTACCATTTCACTCCTAGGCTTTTATCTATGAGAAATGAAAATATATGTCCACACAAAGCTTGTCTATAAATGTTCAAAGAAACTTTATTCATAATGGTCAAAGACTAAAAATGACCCAAATATTCTTAAGTGAGTGGATAAAAATATTATGATATATCCATACATTGGGATATTATTTAGTAATAAAAAAGAGTAAACTTCAGATACACTCAACAATATAGATGAATCTCAAAAACATTATGCTGAGTAAAAAAAGCCATACATAAGTATATACTGTATTATCCAATTATGTTAAATCCCAGAAATATAATGAAATACATGTCAGATAAAAGATCAATGTTTGTCTGAGGCTAAGGCTAGGGGCATTTAATTGCAAAAGCAAATAAGAGGATGTTTTAGAGTCAGAAATGATCTATATTGTGGCTGTGTTATATATACATATAAATAATTGTCAGTACTCTTTGAACTGTATACTTATAATGGATATACTTTATTATATATAAATTATTCCCCAATAACATTGATTTTAAAAATCAAATAAGCAACTCAGTGAAGAGTAAGCTATAAACTACTAATTTTTGTGTTTAGTTCTTACATGTGGTCCTATAACACTTGAAATTTCATTTTAGCATGAAAGTATTCCATCTCAAAGCAGTATGTCCGTTTTTTCTTTTTCCATCACCATTTATCCTTTTATGCCCTCTTTCACCTCCATTCACCCCCTACCCCCACCCTCAATCACCACAGTGTTGTCCATTGTCCATGAGTTCTCTATTTTTTCTTCTCAATCCCTCCGCACACACCCCCACCCCAAACTCCATAGCTGTCTGCCTGCTCTCTCAGTCTGTCTCTATTTGGCAAAGCAGTATGTCTTTTCCTTCATGATATTGTGCTGTCCCTTCTCCTTAATTTTTGAAATCTACCAAAATATGCTACTCACCAATATAGGCAGGTGACACGGCAACTTCTCTGACTTCAATATTAACAGAACCTCTTGGTATCTGCACAACTGTCAGGTAGCCTGGACCACAGAAGACAGCCAGTGTAAGTAGATTCTGTAGCCTCAGTCAGAAAATGAGTGTTTAATAACCATTCAGTAATGATTTTCCTTATTCTACCATGCTTTCTTCGGCTTTTCACTATACAAATTATGAAATATGGGCAAATTCCCCTTTGGGTTAATGAATACCTCTAGAGTATTTTTCTTTTCCTCTAAAATACCTTCACATGTACAATATTGGTTCATTTTATTTTCTCAACCGTAGCCCACACATCAATCTACTGTGGAAATTCATATCTTAAAGAAACATGGCAAAATGAAGTCAAGTAGAAAGGAAATAATATTTACTTAAAATATCTTACATAGGAACTCTCCTGTAATGTTGGAGGGCATGCAGACTGGTTCAGCCACTGTGGAAGACAGTATGGAGTTTCCTAAAAAGTTAAAAATGGAACTCCCATTTGACCCAGTAATCCCACTTCTAGGACTATATCCCAAGAAACCAGCAACACCAATCAGAAAGGATATATGCACCTCTATGTTCATAGCAGCACAATTTACAATAGCTAAGATTTGGAAACAGCCTAAGTGCCCATCAGCAGATGAGTGGATTAAAAAACTGTGGTACATCTACACATGGAAGATTATGACGCTATAAAAAAGAAGGAACTTTTACCATTTGCAACAGCATGGATGGAACTGGAGAGCATTATGCTAAGTGAAATAAGCCAGTCGGAGAAAGATAAATATCACAAGATCTCACTCATACGTGGGATATAATGATCAACATAACTTGATGAGCAAGAATAGATCCAGAGACATATGGCAGGGGAGGTGGGAGGGGGGGAGGGGGAGAGGGAGCAACCAAAGGACTTGTATGCATGCATATTAGCATAACCAATGGACATAGAAACTGGGGCGGTGGGGGCTTGCCCAGAGTGGGAATGGCTGGGGGGTCGGGGGAGGTAGTCAATTGGGGTTAAAGAAGACATATGTAAAACTTTAGACAATAAAAAAATAAAATAAATATCTTACATGAAGCCATATTTAATACTTTAAAAGACTGAAAGCAATTTGGGGGGGAAGCAATGTCTGCCTAAATAAAGAAATTTTAAAATAAAGGGTGGTGGTGGTGATCAAATGTGTTGCCTATTCCAAGCACACAGAGGCGTGAGGAAGAGTTCTCTCTACACACTCACCTCCTCCTCTGGGTGACGTTTCATTGAAGAACCCTTCAACGGCATCGCATGTGCTCCCATCCCCTCCACAGACTCGACATTTATCTTCCCTAACACTGGATTCCAAAATATTATCACAACCTACATGCTGCAAACAGAGAAGAATATTCAGTGTGTGAAAAAAAGGAATTCTTACTAAGCAAATAAATATAGCGTATTTATTTACTTGTTTTTCCAGTAAAGGAAATAAAAACAAGAAATATTTTCCTCTCTCCACTTTTACCTTCACTCTCCAATAAGTTCTAGCTAACATTTCTCAACACATAAGTTTAAAGAAAAAAAATTCTGATTCCCCAGGAATGGATGTCTATATTTCTAACCTAGATTTAATTATTTATAGATACCATGCTTCAATTTTTAAAATATTATAATTTGTTAGCAATGGACTCTTACTTATACCCCAAATCAATACATGCAAGAAATGAGAAAAATGGCATTTAGTCCTATACGAGGTTATAACAGCAAGAGTCTTGACTGGGCATGACATTTTGTCCTTTCTCAATCACTAGCCCTTTTGGATTATCCAGTTGTTAGAGTCCAGGATTGGTTGTGGAAATCATGACTGGGTAAATCTTTAAAAATGAATACCTGTACCCACTAGCTGAATAAAACTGCCATAAACTCTACCATTCAGTCTTTCATTGAACCACAGAGATGTGGATTCTTATACATTTTTGGTACAAATTTTGGAACTTAAATTTGTATATTTGACATTTAGCCATTGATACCAGGCATGTAATCTCTGAATGTACTAGTAAGCTGTATCTGGGTTTTTATTATCTAAAAAGAATTTTAATATTGTCACAGAAATAACCTTTTCTTCAAGTAAATACACACACACACACACACACACACACACACACTGGGCTATCAGATACATTTGGAGGCTAGTAGCCAGAAGGATAGACAATGTTTTTATATCTTCTTTCTTTCTGGGACTTAGATTTGCACTTCTCTTTAAAATAAAACAAAAACAAGGAAAAAAAATCTATATAATAAAGAGCTAATATGCAAATAGTCATCACATCCTCACGCCGTCATGCCATAACAGCTCAGACACTCAACACTGGGGAGAGAGGAATGGGGACCAGCCATGCACAAATGAGCTCGCGAGAGAGGAATGGGGACCAGCCAGGCTGTGGCCTGGGAGAGGGACAAGCCACACGCCCTGCAGTCCCAGGTGCCAACAGCTGGGGCTGGGGCCCGGGAGAGGGACAAGCCACCCATCCCATGATCCTGGACGCCAGCAGCTGGGGCTGCGGCCTGGGAGAGGGACAAGCTGCATGCCCCATGGTCCCCGCAGTCCTGGGCGCCAGCTGCTGCACCTACTGCCCGGGAGAGGGACAATCCGCATGCCCCACGGTCCCCATGGTCCCAGGCACCAGTGGCTGTGCCTGTGGCCCGGGAAAGGGACAAGCTGAATGCCCCGCAGTCCCAGGCATGGTCCCCGTGGTCCCAGGCACCACTGGCTGTGCCTGTGGCCCGGGAGAGGGACAATCCGCATGCACCATGGTCCCTGAGGTCCCAGGAGCCAGCAGCTGTGCCTGCGCCTGTGGCCCGAGAGAGGGACAAGCCACCCGGGCCGCGGTCCTGGGTGTCAGTGCCTGTGCCTGCGGACCAGGAGAGGGAAAGCCACCCACACTGTGGTCCCAGGTGCCAGTGCCTGTGACCCAGGAGAGGGACAAGCCACCAGCCCCATGGTCTTGGGCACCTGCGGCTCTGGCCAGGGCGAAGTCACCTGCTCACGGTCCCCTGCGGCTGCAGTCAGCCCAGGCAAAGCTGGCCCAGGTCCTAGGTGCCTGCAGCCGGCCATAGGGTGGGAAGCCCAGTTCCAGGTGTCTGTGACCAGCTGGAGGAGGGAATCCTGGGTCCCAGGTGCAGGGTGAGGCAGAGGCAGTTAGGGGCAATCAGGCCAGCAGGGGAGCACTTAGGGGCAATCAGGCCAGCAGGGGAGCACTTAGGGGCAATCAGGCTGGTAGGGGAGTAGTTAGGGGCAATCAGGCAGGCAGAGGTGGTTAGGGGCGATCAGGCAGGCAGGCAGAGGGGCTAGGGGTGATCAGGCAGGCAGGCAGGCAGGAGAGCGGTTAGGAGCCAGCGGTCCCTGATTGCGAGAGGCAGTCGGACATCCCCCAAGGGGTCCCGGATTGGAGAGGGTGCAGGCTGAGCTGAGGGACCCCACCCCCTCCCCCGTATGAATTTTGTGCACCGGGCCTCTAGTGATCATTTAAGCAACCTTGCATTCTCCATTGATGCAGATATCCAGTGAATCCATATTGCACCGAGTCCCATCAATCACTGCGGGGGCACGTTCAGTGTAGAAGTTGTAGCCATCAGCCAAGCAGTTTAATGCACACGGTTTCATTCCACCTGGACAAATGCAGTACAAAAGAAATAAATGGATTGGTTCTCCTATGAGACAGTGATTCAATATTCCCCATAGCATATGTACAATTCATATAGACATCATTCCCTGACTATATCCCTGGATGTGTAGGTTTCTTTCCTCTTTTGCTAAAATTTCATGTTTATTTTCATTCCTTGCTCAACTTAATGAAGGTCCTGCTAAGTAGTTTTCAAGTTTAAAAATTTTAAGTGTTTCCAATATATGTTTACAATATCTTTTGGGTCAAAAGGCATCACAGTGGAGGTACCTGAATACTGAAGCAAATAAATGAAATAAAACTGTTTTTAAAAATGAACCAAGGAAATAAAGTTTAAGGTGGCTTGAAACTATTACCTTATATGACAAATCAGAATTTCTACAACATACGTAACTTGTTATGGAAGCTGATACAAAAACTCTCCTACTTTAGCAGGGACATGGTAGTTGAAAAATAAAACTATTTGTACCTGTTTTTAAACATATCATATTCCGTGAAAATGGCTTTAGTGTGGAGATAAATTGTTATCAGATTAGCAAATCAAAGATAAAATTAATTATAGTTTTAAAATTGAATAGTTAAAATAATATCTAATATTATTTTGTGAACATATATAATAACTTGAGCATTTTCATTTTGTCATTGAAATTTGTATTTTTTAAGGTTGATATAAAAGATAGGTAAGAATAATAGCCATTTAAAACAAGCAAAGTACATGTCATACCCTCATAATATGTTGAAAAGTAGCAATAAATATGGATATATTTCATTCAAAACAGCGCATGAAAAAGTGACTTATAAATATGTAACTATTGATTAAAAATATGACGTAAGAAGAATACCTCCTGTTCAATCTTCCTTTTATGAAGTTTAAAACACTTTGGTCTTATTCTAATTATTTTGATAAAATTTCTCTTTGAAATAAAGCTGACTACTTCTTATAAAGAATATAAGGCAGAAAGATTGAAATGGCATGCCTAAGGTAGACACAGGTTGCTGCAGAGTGAAGGTATATGGAGTAAAAGAAAGAAGCCAACTGGGTGGTGAAGACAATGATAAGTGAGAGACAGAACATTCCTTTAAAAGGAGATCCCTGTTATAGTTGACTAGAGGCCCGGTGCACAAAATTTCGTGCATTCGGGGGCGGGGGGGCGAGTGTCCCTCAGCCCAGCTTGCACCCTCTGGCAATCTGGGGACCCCTCACTCCTTACCGCCCACCTGCAGCAGAGGTGGGAGAGGCTACCACCACCACCACTGCACTCACCAGCTGTGAGCCCAGCTTCTGGCTTAGCGGCACTCCCCCTGTGGACGCTCCTGCATTAAGCATCTGCCCCCTGGTGATCAGTGCATGTCATAGTGACCGGTCATTCTGCCATTTGGTCTATTTGCATATTAGGGTTTTATTATATAGGATAGTTGTTGTGCAAGAAGGCTCAATATATTCACAAACCCTATTTTTTCAAGAGAAGATGAAAACCTAGATTTTTAAAATATAACCTGTTCTTGGCAACTCATTCAACATTTTCAAAAATACTGTGAAGTTTAAAACACATATGTAAGTAAAAACTGTTCTTGAACCACCAGTTTACAACCACTGGCCCAAGTTCATGTTTTCTCCCATTTTCTTTATCTGTAGGCTATAAAACTCCTATAGGACTTACAAGGTATTACTAAGCTTAGGGTAATGATATATTTTGCTGTTCTGAGCACAGAAATAATAAGTAATCAATAAAATAATTTCTTTCTGAACTATAATCAAGGTATTTATAATCTATTTTTGTAAGATTCTCATGAATAAAATTGCTCTAAATTTCCATGAATATTACTGGGATTGTTTTCATTACTACCCACTATTGTTCCTTCCCCATTTATTATTGTAATGTTTTGAAAGTTAATGGAGCTTTTTATGTAATGGGCTTTTTAAAAAGAACACTAGCCTTTTATTTACTCAATTTTAATACTATATTAATTATGTAACATAGTATTTGATAGGCAAGACATGCAATTACTATGGTTGTATTCATAGAAATAAATTTCCTCCTTTTTCACTGCTCAAGATGTATTTAGCTTTCTCTGTTACAATGAGTTTTCAGAAGAGGTACTGCTATTATTTCAAGAAGGGATTTAGGGTGATTCTCTAAATGGAAGGTCACATTACCAATTACCTTCATTTAAAGCTTATTATGAATTTAGTGTTAATTCATTCCACTCAATTACCTAGATCAGCCGTGGGCAAACTACGGCCTTCGGGCCGGATCTGGCCCCTTTGAAATAAATAAAACTAAAAAAAAAAAAGACCGTACCCTTTTATGTAATGATGTTTACTTTGAATTTATATTAGTTCACACAAACACTCCATCCATGCTTTTGTTCCGGCCCTCCCGTCCAGTTTAAGAACCCATTGTGGCCCTTGAGTCAAAAAGTTTGCCCACCCCTGATCTAGATGCTAATTATTAAATCCTCCTACAATAAGATAAAACAATATCAAATGTATATGAACTTAATAAAAGTGATTCAAAATACATGAAACAAAAAGTTATAAAAAAGAAAGTAAAGTCATATAATAGTTCAAGATTTTAACACACTTCTCTCAGTACTTGATAGAAGAGCAAGAGCAGGAGAAAAAAAAACACCCAGAAAAATTTAAAAATATTTGCATAACACTAGCCAACTTGACCTCATGGATATCCATAGAACACTACTATATCCAACAACTGCAGAAAACACATCCTTTTCAAGTATAAATAGAATATTCACCAACATGGAGAATAAGCTGTATCATAAAACAAATTTCAATTAATTTTAAGAATTTAAATAATGCAGAGTATTCTCTAAGCATATTAGAATTAAACTATAAATTAATAACAAAAAATCTAGAATATATAAAATATTTGGAAATTCCACCAAAAAACTCTAGAACTGACCAATGAATTCAATAAAGTAGCAGGATACAAAAAGAAATAAAAATGACAATTATAAATAACCTAAATAACCCATGGGTAAACAAGAAATCACAATGTAAATAGGATAATATTTTGAAATAAAGGAAATAAAAACACATCAACTTTGGGGAATGCAATAGAGCAAAATAAACCCATAATTAAAAGAAAAAAGACAGTAATAGAGAAAAGTGCTACAGCCAAGTCGATTCTCTGAAAAGATAATTAAAATTGATAAACCTCAAGTAAGACTGATCAAGTAAAAGAGAGAAATACATATTATAAATATCAGAAATCAAAGAGCATACATCACTCTAGATCCTACAGATATTAAACAGAATAATAACAGAATGTTATGATTAATTTTCTATCAATGAATTGAACAACATGGATGTAACTTACCAATAAACTTATCAAAGACACAAATTTGAAAACTCACATAAGAATTTAAAAGTCTGAACAATTCTTTTATCTGTTAAAGGAGCTGAATTTGTAATAATTTTTTGTACAAAGAAAATACCAAACATACATGCTTTTACTATTTTTCCAAGGAAAAAATAATACCAATGTTACAAACTCTTTCAAAATAAATAAGAATTCTATTTCAGGAAGCCAGAGTAACTCTGATACCAAAGCTTGTCAAAGACATAACAAAAATAAAATTTAGAAATCAGTTTCCCTTATGAACATAGACACAAATATACTTAATAAAATATTAGCTATTAAATTTAATAACATATAAAAAATAGTAAAACATTACCACATAGGGTTTATCCTGGGAATAAAAGGTTGGTTTGACATTATAAAATCTGTTAAGTAATTTATCATATTAACAGAATAAAGAAGAAAATCACATATAATCTCCACATGCACAAATTGTATTGAAGGGCCAAGCCAGTGCATTAAGACAAGAAAATGAAATAAAAGGCAAAAAGATTGAAATAGGCCGTCTCTATTCCAAATAACATGACTATTTAGCAAGAAAATCCTAAATAACAGAACACAAAATTAATATATAAAAATTAATTTTATTTTTATACACTAGAGTTAATAATTAAAAATGAAATTTTTAAAACTTTCATTTACAATAGTGTCAAAACACATAAATTACTCAGAAATTGGTTTAACAAAAGATGTGCAAGACCTTATATCTAAAACTACAAAACATAGCTAGAGACATTAAAAAAGACACAAATACATAGAGATATATACTACGTTCATAAATTGGAAAATTCAATATTTGAGTTTGTTACTTCTCCCTGTATTGATCTACAGATTCAACATGATAACAAGCATAAGCCCAGCATGTTTTTCTGTAGAAATTAACAACAAATTTTGTAATTTATATGGAAATGCAAAGCATTTAGAATATCCAAATAACTCTTTTTAAAAAGATCAAAGTTTGAGGAACTTATGCTACCTGTGTCCAAGACTATACAATTACAATAATTAAGTCAGTGTGGTACTAATATGGAGTTGACAAATAGATTGATGAAACAAAATAGAGTACATAAATATACTACAAATACACACCATATTCCTAAATTGTTTTTGATTGTACACCTAAATTTAAAGATAAAAAACCTGGCTCTTAGAAGCAAAGATTAAAAAATACCATCTAGAGTTGAAGTAGACAAAGATTTCTAAAACAGGACACAGAACACAATAACCATAAAAGAAAAAAATTGAAAAATTAGAATTCATCAAAATTAAAATCCTATACTCATCTAAAATACCATTTAAAAAGTAACAGGAGAGCCACAGACTGTGAGAAAATATTCGTAAAACATCTGATAAATAACTACCACTAGAGAATCTATAATAACAAAAGTGTAATATGCTAATTAGACTGGACAAATGACCTTCCGGATGAAGACGGGGCTGTGAGGGCCAAGCCCCTTGCACGAATTTTGTGCATCAAGCCTCTAGTGAAAAGATAAAATACCAATTTGAAAATAGGCAAAGAATGTGAACAATTAACAAAAGATACATAAATGGTCAATAAGCACATGAAAATGTGCTCAACATAATCAATAATCAGAAATGCAAATTAAAGCCCTAGCAGGTTTGGTTCAGTGGATAGAGCATCGGCCTGCGGAATGAAGGGTCCCGGATTCGATTCCGGCCAAGGGCACATGCCCAGGTTGCGGGCTCAATCCCTAGTAGGGGGTGTGCAGGAGGCAGCCGATCAATAATTCTCTCTTATCATTGATGTTTCTATCTCTCTCTCTCCCCCTTCCTCTCTGAAATCAATAAAAATAGATTTTTTAAAAAAAGAAATGCAAATTAAAGCTACAGTAAAACATCATTATACACACACCAGGAGAAGACTGGAAACACCAAATGTTGGCAAGGATATGGAACAAACAGAACCTACACATTGTTGGTGGGAGTTGTGATATGGTACAATAACTTTGGAAAAATATCTGGCAGGTTTTTTTTTTAAATTAAACTCATACCTACCCTATTATTCAACAATTCTACTCCTAAGTATTTACCCAAGAGAAATGAAAACATATGCCCACAAAAAGATGAGTATGCAAATAATCACAGCAGCTGATTCATAACAACTGTAACTAGAAACACCCCAGGTGTCCATCAGTCACAGAACGGAAAAGCAAACTTATTATAATACTGCTTAGCAATAAAAAGGAATGAACTGCTTGTACATGCAATAATGCAGATGGATTTCAAAAACATTGGGCTTAAAGAAGCCTTGCACAAAAGAGTAAATATAACATAATGTCATTTATATGATGTTCTGGAATAGGAAAAACTAATCTATGGTAAAAAAAAAAAATCATAACAGTAGTTGCCTCTTAGAACAAACAGGTAGAGGCAGCTATGGACTGGGAAGGACTATGGAGGTAATGGTAATGTTCTATATTTCAGTAGAGTTTTACAGGTGCATGCATTTGTTAAAACTCAGGGAAAGTACAGTTAAGATCTGTGCATTTCATTGTACATAATCTAACCTCAAAAGAAAAAAGTAAACAGTACTGAACTGGGGTTGATGTATGCATGCTTAATTACTTACAGGAAAGTATATTAATGACTACAATTTACTTTGAAATGCATCCAAAAAAAAGCATAGATTGATGAATGGACAGAGATGACTAGACATGTAATGAAAAATATATACTGAAATGTTAATGGTAGAATCTTGGTGGTGGATAAAAACATCACTGTAAAATTATTTCAATATTGTTCTATGTTGAAATTTTTTCAAAAATGTTAAAACAAGCAAAAATTTTGAATGTGCATTCAATCTTTCCAAGAGAAAATTTTAACAAAACTTAGTTTGTATTTTGGGAGTGTAAGCAAACTTTTTGTGCTTACTGAACAACTGGTGTTTGATACATGCCCAAATTAAAGAGCAAAAATGTTTCCCAACACTAAAAAAGAATTTTAAAAATCTATGGTAAGATCCTTAGCCTTTTCTCAAGAAAGAACACATTTTCCTGGCCTCTTTGAGTTGATTTATATTGTTATAATTTGTTTTTAGGGTGATATCTCTAAATACTTCGTGATTATAAATGATTATAATGTAATGTCCACATACCTCAAGAAGTCAAGAACTCAAAAAAATGATTTCTGATCATTTGTACTAACATAAAGTTCATTACAGGGAAACTAAAACATGAGACCTTTATAATATTATAAGTATTTTCCTGCTTTGATTTACAAACACTAATTTTTACTAGTATGTGTAGAAATGTGTGTGTCTGTATTATTTATATACTCTTTCATGATTGCAAAGCTCTCAAGCATGATGAATGCTCTGCCAGGTTATACATTACCTCCAGTAAAGGGTTTCCAGTTATAATAATTTCCACGGAAAGGCATATTGTCAAAGTCTGCACACTGTTTCTCTCGAAAATCTCGGGCCCCCAAAGGACATGGCTAAAATAAAATAAAATCATAAATGGTACGATTGTTGAAAAATTCCAAAACCAAGGGACAGCATCCCTAAAATTAAAATTGCCTGAACTCCATCACATTAGCTCACTGCCTTACTCTCTGGGACATGCTCTACTCTTTTACAACCAGTATTCAGACTGAAGTGTCTGAATTGTAATCTTAGCCACAGAAGAAATAACTGAAGTCATTTAAACAAAGTGAAGTGTTAGACAGTTTCCATATAACTTTACACTTAGATGCATGTCATAGTCCACTTTGCAATCGATCCATCAGGTATCTCCTTATAAGCACAAATAAAAACCAGGAGAAGAAATCAAAACACAAAATCTTTTTTGGTAGCAGTGTTTGAGGTCCAGTTGCCACAGCTACTCCCAGCTCTTTATTTTAAGGAATCAAGAGGCAGGTTTGTAACATGACATTCAGCACTATTAATTGTGGTTTGGACCCCGACTACTATAGCTGTTTACTGTCTAGCTCTGACAAAAACCATATTTTAAGACATGGGATGAAATGGGCAAAATGCTAGGCCTCAAGTTTAAACACCTTCCAATTCCAGGAATGTGGACTTATTAGGATTTACATTTTAACTTTAACATCACAGAAAATAAAATACTAATTTGGTTCAAAACATGTACATGTGTTGAATGGGAGACAGAGAAGGATGTTGGGAAGGTGAAGAGAGAATTATTTGTTTTTAAAATTTGGAATGCTTCTTCTACCTGGATTTTTTTACAGAGGAAAATCTTGCCAATCTAGCTAGGTCCAGATGCCAAATACCACAGGGCCATCCTAAATTCAATACTTAAGTTCGAAAAGAATTAAAGTATAACATCTCACAGTGTTTGAACAATATGACCTAATTTGATGTATCTTTTAGAGTTCTGCAGCTGTTGCACCTAAAACTTGAAGCTACTGATCGAGAAACACTCACTTTAAATATGGAAGAATGGAGCAAGTCATTAGATAAAATTATTAATTGTGAATAAATAATGAGTACGTTACAGACACTCTCAGATATCATTTTCAGGCTTTTTACCACTTTCCATGGCATCTCTACATTTACTGTATTTTATACAGTTTTCTGATGTCAGTCCCTTGAAGCATGTGCAAAAATAATAGACCACAATGTGCATATATTTGCATGGTCACCATTACTTTCTATATACTATGGTTCAAATTACTAGCATATCAAGTCCAAAGCCTCAGATTCTGGAAATAGTGAGAGCAGGTCTGCATTCTGTTATGGGCCCAGAATTTAAAATATTTTTCTGCACATTAAAATATGACACTGCAATGCCAAACCTAATGATTCTGCTTGCCAAATTACCATTTTTACCTGACTTTTCAAAAAAATGCAAACTAAGTATGAACCATAGGCTACATAGTGCGTCACACTGGAAAGATATGCTTCTGGTGTCTTGCTTCATCGTGTGCTACCGCTTTCCTTTCCTAGCCATTTCCAGGGAACCTCACACAATGACTGGAGTTGTCAGTGGCCTTGCCATGCAGCAAGGCTAGTTTTTAAGCAAATATTATCAATTTTTAAAAATACAAATAATTTTAACTATAGGTACAAGTTTTCACATAAAACTTAAGTATTTGTAAAGCACCAACTACCTAAAAGTTCTCACAGCTTTCAAACTAGTTGGAGAAACCAGATACAAACAGACAAACCACAGCACTGTTGCAGGCAGTACTTATAGGACAGCATGATGCAGGTGCTGTATGAAGGCAAACGATCAATGTGTCATGTGACTAATCATAGGGAAACTTTTCCTCTGGAAGCAAACCTTGAGTGTATTATAATTATAATAAAAGTATTATGAAAACTTAATTTTTGTAACTTTATAAGATATTGTAGGAATTGAGCTGGTTAAGCAAAAGGACTTTTGGGGTAGGGGTGGGGGGATTATTAAGAATAAAGCCAAGTAAAGCCATGGGGACAGGAAGGGAAAGGTCATACGTTGGGAATTAGTTGGAAAAAGGCCATCCTAGATGAAACAAACTGTATGGAAGCACGAGAGCAGATAACATTTCATAGAAAAGCACTGGTACATAAAAAAGCCTCAAATTAACGAACTAAGGTATCGTGAAGGCCATTCACTTAAGAACAAAAATCCTATTCCTAATTATCTTGTAATGTCACTCCTAGCTAGAAGAGAAAGGGTCCAATAGGAGGATATTGCTGTTTCATGAAGCACTTGGATAATATTTTGTAAAATTTTTGATCCACTCTTTTCCTGGAATAATCACTCTAGTGTCAGCATAATGAAAATATTAACAATGACAACAGAGACTTAGCATTTAGTAAGTACCTACTCTGGGGCACACTGTTCAGAGGTCTCAAGATCTATTGTCTATTGAACCTCTGTCTACACTCTTATGAGGTGGTTGTCCTTAATAATCCCATTTTACAACAGAGTACTGAGTACAGAAAGGTTTGCTTAGTAATAGCTTCAGGATGCAAGGACACCTCCCTCAATCTGAGTGGCACCTCCTCTGGACACTGTCTAAATGCTACAGTAACAGTGTGAGGCTTTAGCTGTTAAGATACACAAATACCTAACAGGAGTAACTTGGACTATGGACCTAGTCTTGTCATTTCCAGCTGTAAGTTTCTTATCTTCTCCAAGCTACTCTTTTTTCCCTCATTTATAGAATAAGAGGGCCAATTCTTATAAAATAAGAATTTTGGAGTAAGACTAGCCTGGATTCGATTCTAACTTTGTCATTTGTTTAATTCATGGCCTTGAGCAATGTAATTCATTTTCCAGCCCTCATCTATAAACTAGTATTTATCTCCTAGTTGAAGATTCATGTAAAATGTCTAGCTCTGTACTTGGCACATGGTAGCTCTGAATAACTATTGGCAGCAGTGCTGGTTTTGGGTCAGGCATCCATAGACCATCCCTCATCGTTCCTGCTCTGCTCTATATATCAGGGGAACAAACTCTGCAAGCTCCATATCCCAGGCTTCTGTGCCAGCTGACTTCTGGTTAGGTGCAGGCAATGAAAGGCACGCGTGGGAGAAGCCAGGGCATTTCTCTCATTTCCTCTCTACCTCAGAAAGCATCTTAGGCAGGCACAGAATCATTCTGCGGCCCTAACTTCAGGAAACAAAAGCCCCACACCTCCACCCCATGCTATGCTTCCAGCTTCTGGACTCTGATAAAACTACCTCCTTCCTGGATCTTTCTGGTAGGAGTGGTGGCATCTTCCTGCTGACCCTGATGTATGGGCTGCAAGCCTCTTTAATTGCCAAGTAACCAAGTATGTGCATTAAATTCTCTCTATTTAAATATTCAGAATGACCTCTATTATTATGGTTGGATCTTTACTGACACATACAACAATCAATAATGATGAAGAAGGAAGAGGAGGAAATTGGTAGGTTGAATACAAGTATATTTCCATAGTTTATTGGTTAAGGGTATAGAGGTTGGCAAACTTTCTCTGCAAAGAGCAACATAGTGAATATTTTGATTTTTGTGTTCCATACAGTATTGGTTGTCACTATTCAACTGGGCCATTATAATGTGAAAGAAGCCATAAACATATATGTAAATGGCCATGGCTGTGTTCCAATAAAGTTTATTTACAAAAAGAGGTGAGGGGCCAAATTTGGCCAAGGAAATAGATTTTGCCAACCCTTGCTTTAGGTGCTAACAGAATAGATACAATCTGTCTGGCAACATTTTGCAGAAGAACCAAACTTGATTATTAATTTTTGAGTCAATGCCAAATCATACATTTTTAAGAATTGATTTTAGAAGTAATATAATCTAATTTGTACACGCTGCTTAAATGTCCTCTATAATTATCCCCAAAGTGGTCACACAATCTGAATAAGCATCTACAGAAATATCAAGTACTTTTCAGACAGCTACAATTCTTATCAGGTTCTTCCTTACATTCAGCCAAAATCTGTCTTGCTCTTTTCTTCTGGATCCACACTGAGCAAATCTAACCCCTAACTGAAAGGTATCTAGACCTTAATGGATTTCCTAAGGGCACATCATAACTCATCATTAGCCCTCTTAAAACAAGCACCAAGACCTGGCCTTTGTTTTGTTCAGCAAATGTATATAAAATGCTTACTATGTGTCACATATGATCTAGGCTCTGGATATGAGGCAATAAACAAAACAGATTAGGTCCCTGCTTTCAAGGAGCTCATTGTAATGGAGTGAGAAAGAAGAAAAACAAAGCAGGTTAAGGAGATTGATAGTGAGGTGGAGGGAAGTTTTAAATAGTATAGTCAGAGAAATTCTCTCGGATAAGGTGGCACTGGAGCAGAGTTAAAAGAAACTAAGGGAGTGATTTATGTACACATCTGTGAAAAGAGTGCTCCGGGGAAACAGGAAATGCAAAGGCCCCGAGGCAAGAGTGTGTTTGGGATGTTCATAAGGAGAATGGAGGATGGAAGGGTCTAGGGCAGCGGTTCTCAACCTGTGGGTCACGGCCCCTTTGGGGGTCAAACGACCCTTTCACAGGGGTCGCCTAAGACCATCGGAAAACACATATATAATTACATATTGTTTTGTGATTAATCACTATGCTTTAATTATGTTCAGTTTGTAACAATGAAATTGGGGGTCACCACAACATGAGGAACTGTATTAAAGGGCCGCGGCATTAGGAAGGTTGAGAACCACTGGTCTAGGGAACGGTAGTAGACTTGGGGACTTGATCTCATGTCATGCTTTCTGGTTCCAGAATATATCCAGCTAGTGTTCTGTTCTCCTGATTTCAATGTTTCCTTCACTGAATGCTCTGAATTTGTGTTGATTAGAAATAAGCTCAGTAGGAATTGTACATGCTGGTTCCAAAGGAAGTGATCAAAGAAGAGTTAATTTCTTAAGAAAAATTACACAAAATATATTTTTTTAGTTTTTGTTTAAAAAGAATAGAGATTTTAAGGAGTAATGCTTTTTAAATTACTTAGGGATTAGAAGTGCTGACACTATGCAGAAATCCTAACA